GATACGTGGTAAAAGCTTTCACCGGTGATATTTGACGACTGTGTGCAGGTAAATTGGTGACTGACCTTCAATTTAAAATTCACATATTGGGTATTGTAATTGTAATAAGCTCACATGCGATCGGCACAATCCTTACATTGGTTATTAGAGTTACTAATGAAGGAAAAATATAGCTTCAATTTACGGGTTTTTGGCAATCGTTGTGAATCAGTCTCGAGATTCTTTCAAAACAACACCGATAATCAGTGTTCTTGTTCTCTCTTTGTAGGGTGGCAGCACAGGCCAACTGCTCTGTTTCGATTTTTCAAAACAAGACACTATATATACTTACATTGGACATTCAGTGTAGCAGCATTGGATGTAGAATTTCCAAGGCTGTTATTCGCCACACATCGGTAGTTTCCGTTGTCTGTTCTTTTCACATTCGTTATTGTCAACTGTTTTTTGTCATCTGAAATACTGACCCTCCCGCTTATATTTACAGGATATCCATTTCTGTTCCATGATATTATTGGCACTGGTTGTCCATCAACGTTGCAAGATAGAGTCACGTTATCTCCTTCTATTCTAGTTTTATTTTGAGGATGCGCAGCGATCTCTGGTTGATCTGTAACAAACAAGACAATTATTGTCATAAAGGGAAATTTCGAAAGTACGAACTGAAATCATTTCAAGACTATATGAGCTGTTTTTATCTTTAAAATGAATTTAAGTTAGCAAGTTACAGTGCGACTACCAAGGCCATCCTAGAAAATTATTTGCAAATCTACACCCACCGTTTAAGTGTTAAACGATAAAAATGGCCACTTACTCATTGCTTCTGCAATGAGCAGCTTGCTTAGATAAATGGATTGTTGGAAATGCAGTGTTAACATCCCATGTTTTCATTGGTTAAATTTGAACAGGAACTTTGCTTCCTTGGTTGAAAAGGTCGCACTGTAAACTGGAAACTGCAGTAATGTCATTTTTAGGAAATTTTTCTTGTGAAATTTTCAAAAACATAAATGTCAAAAGCCGCTGATTTCTGTTTCTCCGTTTCGCGCTAAACCCAATAGTCTCACGGGGCCTTTCAAACATCCAGACAGCAGTGTTTTGATCAATTACTTGCACTAATAACTAGTGTAGCAGCATTGAGGATATCATTTCCAAGAATGTTGATAACATGATACCGTACTCACACTGTACATCCAGTGTGGTAACACTGGAGGTATCATTTCCAAGTTCGTTGCTCGCCATACATCGGTATTCTCCGCTGTCTGTCCTGTTCACATCCGTTATTGTCAACTTCGTTTTGTCATCTGGAAAAATGATCCTGGAATTGATGGTTGTATTTACAGGAGATCCATTTCTGGTCCATGATATTGTTGGTACTGGATTTGCAGTAGCATTACAAGATAACGTCACGTTATCTCCTTCTGTTTTTGCAAGACTTCGAGGATGAACAGTGATCTCGGGTTGATCTGTAATAATAAAACAACCCGCAAAATATATCCCAACAGAACAATGTACATGGCGCGAAATATAATGTTTATATCATAAGTAGTTATGATTTATGGTTAGTATATAGTCGCAATAGATTTGACGATTATCGATGGGCGACCAGTCGAAATTTTTAAATCTCCTAGTGCACTTTGTCGCCGATGTTAAATATGGAACAGTTGTAAAGGAGACTGAAAAACTCAGTGGCTTCTTGGTTCCCGACGGAACACATCCACGGCCGTTAAATTTTATAATTAAAATCCTTTACTTTAAGGCTTTCAAATGAGTTTTCTTGGGGAATTGTTTTATAAACCATACAGAAATAATAAGTGATACATTAAACCACTTTACTGTACGTTTGAGGGGGGAGGGGAAGACAGTATTCGAGCTGTTTGGTTGAGCTAAATTAGAATAAGGTATTAAACTTACATTGAACATTCAGTGTAGCGGACTTTGAGGTGTCACTTCCAACCCTGTTTTCCGCCAAACATCGGTATTCTCCGCTGTCTGTCCTGTGCACGTTCGTTATTGTCAACTGTTTTTTGTCATCTGAAAACCTGATCCTTCCACTTGTATTTACAAGAGATCCATCTCTGGTCCATGATATTGTTGGTACTGGATTACCAGTAGCGTTACAAGATAAAGTCAAGTTACCTCCTTCTGTCGTTATCACAGTTTGCGGGTCAACAGTGATCTTTGGTTGATCTGTACGTGAATATCAATATATCAAGTAAGTAAGAAATTTGGCATGTAGAGTTAACGCATGTAGAAAATATTTACTTGCTCTCAACAGGAGATTTGTAACGAGCTAATGTGCTGGGGGAGACAACAATTTAAAAGAGATTAACTTATGACAACTACTTTTTGGTTTAAAACATCATTATTTCAAGTCAGTATACTTAATTTTTGAAAATTCGAGTTCAGAAAAGATACAAAATGCAAGAAACAAGATAAAGCCACGTTATATCTTCCCATCGTAGTTCTATTTTGAGGATGAGCAGTGATCTTGGGTTGATCTGTAGAAATGAACTACAATTATTGTAATGAACGGGAAAATTAAAAACTGCAAAAGAAATTCAAGACTTCACGAAGAAAGGAGGAAGAAGGACAAAGGACTTTTTCAGCTAAAATAACAGCAGTTTTCGGTATGATCAGTTACTTACACTCTACATCCAGTGTAGCAGCATTGGAGGTATCACTTCCGAGACTGTTACTCGCCGCACACCGGTATTCTCCGGTGTCTGTCCTGTGCACATTCGTTATTGTCAACTGCTTTTTGTTTTCTGAAATACTGATCCTCCCGATTGCGTTCACAGGAGATCCATTTCTGGTCCATGAGATTGTTGGTGCTGGATTTCCATCAGCGCTACAAGATAAAGTCACGTTTTCTCCGCCGGCTTTTGTTTCGGCTTTTGGATGAACAGTGATCCTGGGTTGATCTGTAGCGATAAAACAATCCGATATGAAAACATGATTGATCATCACAGTTATGCACACAGCTTGAGCAGCTGTGAAATTGAAGACTGAAAAAAATTCAGGTCTGAACGGGATTCGAACCCATGACCTCTGTGATACTGGTGCAGTGCTCTAACAACTGAGCTATCAAGCCAACTGGGAGCTGGTGACGTTAACGTTGTGAGTTCGTAATACAGTGTATACCCGTAGATGACGATGACGAATGCAAGTGAATATATGAAAGATCATATATTTGAAATGCAGAGAAAGATAATCTCACGACCGCTTAAATTGTGTTTATAACTGCGATGATCAATCATGTCTTCATATCTTTCTCTGCAGCTCAAATATATGATCTTTCATGTATTCACTTGCATTAATAAAACAATCCGCCCAAGAAATGACAACGTAATAATGTGCATGACGCGGAAAAAAGAATCTGATGCAAGTAATAAAAAAATATTATCAGATATACACAATAAGCTTAGATACCTGGCGAAAGATTTCACCGACTTTATTTGACGAATAGTAACTGACTTTGAGTTTAAAATATTCCCGATCGCTTCAATGCATGTTGCAATTATAAAGAAAACTGAAATAGGACGACATGCTTCGCAACACATCTAAGTTCATCAAACGGGTTCAATTCGATCTGCACTACTATTTGCTAAGCACTTCACTTTACATCGATTATTTGAATTAATGAGGGGAAAAAATAGCTTCAATTTACGGGTTTACGGCAATTACTGTGCAGACTAAGCTTAATAGTCTCGTAACCATGTACTTTCTGTATAAGGTGACAGTAGACCAAGTGTACGGTTTAGATTTACTTAACAAGATACTACACTTACATTGTACATCCACTGTAGCAGCATCGATTGTAGCATTTCCAAGGCTGTTGTTCGCCACACATCGGTATTCTCCGCTGTCTGTCCTGCTCACATTCGTTATTGTCAACTGCTTGTTGTCTGCTAAAAAACTGATCCTGGGATTGCTATCTGTATTTACATGAGATCCATTGCTGGTCCATGATATTGTTGGTGCTGGATTTCCGTCAACGTTACAAGATAAAGTTACGTTATTTCCTTCTATTGTTGTGTTAGTTTCTGGATGAACAGTAATCTCAGGTGGATCTGTAAAAAACGAGAAAATTATTGTAATAAATGGGAATTACGAAACTAAAAAATCCAAGACTATACAAGCTCGTTTTTATTTTTCAAGAGGATTTAAGTTAGCAAGTTACAGTGCGACTACCAATAACAAGGCCACTCTAGAAAATTAATTTATAATTTGCCAACAACGTTTGAGTGTTAAACGATAAAGATGATGACTAACTTATTGCTTCTGCAGTGTGCAGCTTGCTTAGATGAATGATTCAGTGTTTTCATAGGTCAATTTTGAAGTTTGGACTGAATCTTTGCTTCCTTGGTTGAAGGGGTTGCATTGTAAGTGTTTGCTGGAAACTAAAGTGGTATGAGTTAAATGAAATGTGAAATGTTCCGAGATATAAATGCCAAAAGTGGCTGATTTCTGTTTCTCTGTTTCGTGCCGAACCCTGAAGCGGCAAGAGGCCTTTTAAACTTCCAAACTAAAAAGACAGCAATGTTCGGTTTTGATAAATTACTTGCATTGATATCTAGTGTAGCAGCATTAGAGATATCATTTCCAAGAATGTTGATAACTATAGACACTATACTTACACTGTACATCCAATGTAGTAACATTGGAAGTCTCATTTCCAAGGCTGTTATTCGCCATGCATCGGTATTCCCCGCTGTCTGTCCTGTTCACATTCGTTATTGTCAACTGTTTCTTGTCATCTGAAATACTGATCCTCCCGCTTGTGTCTACAGGAGATCCATCTCTGGTCCATGATATTGTTGGTGGTGGATTTCCGACCGCGTCACAAGATAGGATCACGTTTTCTCCTTCTGGTTTTGGTTCAGAGTCTGGATGAACAGTAATCTCAGGTGGATCTAGAGCAAGAAATAATCAATCTAAGAAATGACAATATAATCACCGAATGTGAGTGGCGAGAGTTACAATGTTTTCATTGAGACAACTAATTAGAATCTACTGCAAATAATTATAATTTATGAGCACTTCAGTCTGAACACCTAGCAATAAATTTTATTGCCTCTAACCTACGGCTGTAACTGGCCATAGGTTTAACATTTCCTTGGAGATGTTGGCATCGGCGCGGTGTTACGCTTTTAAATACACGGTCAAAAACCGGGCGGTTTAAGATTATCGCGTATTTTGCTCAGGTACAGTTGAATCCCATTATCTCGAACGCTCCAGGGAAACGAAAAATAGTTCGGCATAGTAGGGGCTCGAGATAGCGATAGAAAAAGATCAAAAAAACATAGCCAAGGAAATACGATTTGAGTCCGAGATAGTGAAGGGATTCAGATATCCGAATTCGAGATAGCGAGGTTCAACTGTATTGTAATATTTAAGCAATAAATTTTGACGTTAAGCTATTACAGTTGTTAGTATATACTACACAAGTGAATAGTGCTTTACGCGAGAGATTCTAAAATTTCCGACCGCTTGTCACACATAAAATAACGTTTTGGTCCGCTAATCATTTAGCTTGTGTGGTATATACTAAAACAATTATTCACCTCAGCGTCGGTGAAAGTGATGGATATTTACCTCCACTTCGGTGAATAATTGTTAATTATAGCCATGGACGTTGAAAAATCAACTCAGGTCTGAGAACTTTAATCATAAAGTCCTGATTATTTTTTTTTCGTTGCAGCAGGGTTTTGTTTAGAAGGTTAATGCATTCAAATTTTTTTCTTTCTTGGAAAGCTGACGCTTAATGTACCGATAAAAGCATTTTATAATATTAAAATCACATGACTGCCCACAAATATACTAGTCTTACACTGTACATCTAACGTAGCAGCATCTGCGGAATCACTTCCAACCCTATTTTCTGCCACACATTGGTATTCTCCGCTGTCTGTCCTGTTAAGATTCGTTATTGTCAACTGCTTGTTGTCATCTGAAATACTAATCCTGGAAATGTTGTTACTTGTATCTACAGGAGATCCATCTCTGGTCCATGATATTGTTGGTACTGGATTTCCAGTAGCGTTACAAGATAAAGTCACGTTATCTCCTTCTTTAAAGGTATCTCCTTGTGGATGAGTGGTGATCGAAGGTTTCTCTGTGAAGACGTAACAAAAGATGATGTTTTTCGGCTGATCTTTTCAAAAGATATTTTTGACAGATTCCAAAAAGGTAACCATATTGAGTGCAAAAAATCTCTGCCTCTAGAGTCTATAAATATAAAGTAGCACATGCTTTAGGATAATTATTTAAGAAAAAAAGTCTACTTTTTTCGCGCAATGTCGTCATCGTCGTTACAGAGAACGGTTTTTTCACAACTAAAGCGGGTTTGGTCATGAACTGAAGAGAATAGGCTCAATCATCTCAAATTGCTAAATTGCTCTTGATAACCCTAATGGATGGTAATCCCGTGTTAGAGGATATAGGATATCGTTTAGACTATCATTAATGTTGCAGTTCCTAGGGAGTAATGCTTTAATTATCCCGACAAACACAAGCAATAAACACGCGTTCTATGGCGTAAAGGGGGGAACACCGCTCC